ATTTTTTTTTTTTTTTTATTATTTTTGGGATGTTGGGTGACATGAGTTTTATTTTGTAAAATCAAAGTTATAAAAGTTAGTATACAAAATACAAATTTTTTATTTAAAACATTTTGTTTCTTCACTAAAGTATTTATATAATCCAACAAAGAAAGTATTATTAATGAATTCTGAATTACTCAGGAAAAGATTGCATATCATATTTTTAAATTTGCCTCTTAATACCGAGGCAAATAAATAATAAATTAATGACATTTATTTTTGGTGATTAGTAGTTAATTTTGTTTTTCTAATGTTTATGAGAGAATTATAACTAAAGACTACGCTTTTACCAACCTACATTTTTTATGGTTAAACGAAAAAATATAATTTCAACTACCATTTGTACTAATTTGAGAAAAAAATAATTCTAGAAACTAATTTGCTTTCTTAAAGATACCAGCTTAGCAAGTAAAATTTTGAATGTATTTATTATTTTTAATAATAATATAGATTCAGAGGATTTTCACCAATATTTGGCGTAGATAAATACCATGTATGGTTGGTTTTTAATTTGTTTTTTAATCATTTTGACTTACTTATTTTATGATTGTATGACATAATGAGCATTTCAGTAAAATGCATTTTATTTCTTACATACATGGTATATAGAATTTGTTGGGGGTATCAAAACAAACGCAGTGGAGAAAAAAATACTCCCACAACTTGTAATGACATACACATCTTTAGTACACATCCGATGCAGGATAAACATTAAGTCAGGAATTGACAAATTCACCGTCGTCCAATGAAATTATATTCTCAAATTTCTAAGAAGGCGAGCCACACAAGCATATAATGTACCAATGTGAACAACGGCTGTGATGAGTAGTAATTTGGATGCTTATCATTATTACGCATAAACCACAAGGGGTCAGGGTTCGAGATCTGGAGATCTAAATCAATTAGCATACACTATATGCACCCAAGATTCAAGTAGGAATGTTGTATCCCAATGGTGAAGATGAGGGCTCTGGTGGACCTCATAGCTCTCGGGAGTATAAACATAGTAGATTATGTGTTTGATAACTATTTTGCAATTTATACAAACTTGGCTATCTTATTATTTTATATTTTCAAATTATGCAAAAAAATATCCTATCTTTTCAAATAATGCAAAAAAAAAAAGAACACAAACTTAACTTTTGTTAAAATTTCAGGATACTTCTAATTATATAAAATAGTTATAATTAGAGTATTTTAAATTAAACTAACGAGTATAATTACTTTAGTTTATGTCCTTATCCAGTCTATTATAATCTCATTTATGCAGAAATTATTTCTCAGCACTTCTCTGAAGTAGGGAATATAAATCATGTAAAAATATTAATGAAGATGGGAAAACAATATGAAGATAAAAATAAAACATAAAAAACCACTATTTATAATTAATTTATAATAAAACATAAACAAAAAATAAATTAATAATTTTGTTGGTTAATATTTGATTACTAGAGAAGTCCCGTTATTTCAAATCACTAAATAAATCCATGTACGTCACACGTGCATCTTAAGAAACAAATAATCAAGTAAAAGTTTTTGCGAAACCCACAGCACATGCCATGCTCGCGTGTAGTCCCATGAACCAACCAATAAATTTGTGAATTCATTAGCTAATGCCTCGTGCAAAGTGGCCTCTGCTCCATTTTATAATTAATTTCATAGTTTATTTAAACACAAATTTGTTTGCATTGCTAAGTCTTCTACACCTAGCCCGTTACATAAACTAAAGTTGGGCTCTAAGTTCTTATATGATTTTGTTAAAAGTAATGTAACGTAAGGTGGGATGCTTGCCAATCTTGATGTGGTTCTAAAACAAATGATGCTTTTGGAGGATTACATTTCGATTGAGTGACATATTTAGATTTCATGTGATTATGTGAAAAGGTTATGGTTATCATTTGCCCTCTTCTTGCAGTGCATATTTGGCTTATATACTCTTTCATATAGACTTTCTCCTGGAATCGATGCATTGGTGAAGAAGCTGAAGGAGAATAACAAAACCGTATTTTTGGTATCTGGAGGTTTTCGTCAGATGATAAATGTAAGTTGCTTACTATGTTAGACTATTTTACTTGAAAAGAATTATTGTTCTGAAAAATTGCTATATCTGCATGTTGAACTTTTCCTGTGAATAATCTGTGTTATTTGTGGATGTCAGGAATATTCCATCTCTTTCTCTGCGCTAATATAATCAAATGCAGTAACTAGCTTGTACTCTGGTGCTTGTCTTTTAAATATTTATCCCCACATCAGTGTCTTGTATTTTTGTTACACCACTATATATGATGCCTCATATCTAGCTTGTGATTGTTTCCTGGAAACTAAATCTTTGTTGTTAGTAGAAGTTTCTATATGTGGTAGGTTTTGTTGTATGAAATTGTGCCTTTCCTGATTTTTGTACTTGGTCCACTTGCAGACTAAACAAACAAAATACATTTCTTAAACCTTCTTCGCCGAAAGTTCACTTGGCCATATCCCACATGCACAATATCCTTGATTGTTATAGGAAAACACATGTTAAAATCCACTATGAACCTTCATCCAGAACACGCAGTTACAATATCCAGCCAAATTGCATTTCCTAACTAGCCATTGGTAAAACAGAACACTGAGCCTATCTAAGTTTAAGTCATGCATATCCATGATACCAGGATATATACGTACAAGGAACTGCATGAAAGTTCTCTGATTCGAAGTTGTCTTAACGTGTCAGAGAAAATGTAAAAGAAAATGAAGAAGGAAAATGCCAGACAGCTCAAATTGTACTAGAGTGCGGAAACTTTGTTTCGGCTGAACTGATATTATGATACATGAGCTGATACCACTTTGAGCTTTTAATTATATATATATTCTTTTTCTNAAGCCTGTTGCATCAATGCTTGGGATACCTTTGGATAACATATATGCCAATCAACTCCTGTTTGGAAGCTCTGGGGAGTACTTGGGATTTGATCCCAACGAGCATACTTCAAGGAGTGGAGGGAAAGCTACAGCTGTTCAACAGATTAGGAAGGTCACACTTACACCACTACTTGGTGGATTATTATTATCATTATTATTATTATTATTATTGTTATTATTATTATTATTATTATTATTTTGTCCTTGTTTTGTAAGATCGCATCTGAGGATGGGTAAATAAATCTCTACCCTTTCATTTACAGACCAAAGGTTACAAATTTCTAGTTATGATTGGAGATGGTGCAACTGATCTTGAGGTTAGAAATACTCACCATAACTTTTGTTCTCTCTCAAGACTTGTTAATCACTTCCTTGTATTTTCAAATTTTAAAGTGGAGAAGGATTTTAACCATGGTTCTTTTTCTTTGACTTTGTTGAGTTTGGAGAATTTGGACAATTTAATTGATTCAATTTTTTGTGTAATACCCATTTTCTCTTTCTTGTCTGATCACAATTGTAGGCTCGTCAACCAGGTGGCGCTGACTTGTTTATATGCTACGGTGGAGTTCAGCTTCGGGAGCTCGTTGCTGCAAAAGCTGATTGGCTTGTGTACAATTTCAAAGACTTGATCAACACATTGGACTAGGTTCACCCATTTTCCAGTACACTTATTCATTTACTCTATTGTTTTCATTACTACTTTGGCCCTTTTTGTTCAAAGTAAACCAGATTGGTGGATATTGTGGGAGTCTTCTCGATGATGATTCCATTGGCTCAATTTTTTCGACATTTCTTTTGTTGTGGAGAGAATAAGCAATATTGTAGCTGGTGTTGCAAATGGAAAAGACGTTTTTATTGCCCCTAAAGTCCCTTATCTTTCTTGAATGAAATCGCAGTACAATCTAAGAGAATAATTTAAAAATGTATATTACGGAACAGTGCCAGATTCTCTGCTTGCTCTTTTTCTTCGGAAAATAACATTTTTTTTTCTTTACTGTTTATTGTTTGATTATGTGATAATTTGATGATTAAGGCTGTACTTTTTTTTACATATTTTTATGAGTTGAGTGTACATATGGTACCATAGTCGGTTGTTGGAGGACAGTTTCGTGACACTAAAGGAGAGCTGGTTCCGTTCCTACATTAGGTCGTCCCAAGATTTGGGCTTCTTCCATTGACCTTGGAACTCCATCAATCTATTTCTCGGGAGAAGGTCAAAAGAGTTTGGGGNTGTTTTTCAAGCATAAATGTTGGAAGGAAGATCTCTAAAGAAATTGGCATGGTTTAATGACCCCTTTGCATCTTCAGACTGTACTAAGATAAATGAAGAAATTGATGTCTACAGCTCGGAGTATGAAAGGATTATGAACCCTACCATGAGCCGGATAGAGTTCGAGGCTAAGTGATTCGGAGGGAGATGATAGAGGTGATTCAAACGGACCTGGTCCTCTTGTAAGGGCAACATAAGGCCAAATATAAAAGCCCGGGGGAGTTAGGCAAAGCTATCACTTGGGCTTGAATTTCGGGAGCTTGTACTAATGTTTAAAAGATGCTATTTGTTCGTTAGAGTAATGAAAAAAAGGGTTTACAACAACAACAACAACAACATAGTCTTTTAGTCCCAAACAAGTTGAGGTAGGTTAGAGATGAAACCTAAGAGAACCAATAGTAAGAGAAACACAAAAAGGGGCTCAAAACAAAACAAACAAAACAAACAAAACAAAACAAAATAAAACAAAACAAAACAAAACAAAAGGAGATTGGAGCAAAAGTCACGGTTCTGGCACGTTGATTGCTAGCCTCCAAGCGCTCCTATCCACCGCTAAATCCTTGGAGATATTCCAATCTTTGAGGTCTCTCTTAACCGACTCTTCCCAAGTGAGTTTAGGCCGACCTCTACCTCTCTTTACATCATCGACCCGCTCAAGAACTCCCCTATGCACCGGTGCATCAGGAGGCCTCCGTTGGACATGTCCGAACCATCTCAGCCGATGTTGAACTAATTTCTCCTCAATTGGAGCCACCCCGACCGTATCTCGAATATCCTCATTCCGGATTGTATCCCTTCTTGTGTGCCCGCAAAACCAACGCAACATACGCATCTCTGCTACACTTAGTTGTTGGACATGTTGCATTTTTGTAGGCCAACATTCAGCACCGTATAGCATCGTCGGGCGAATCGCCGTCCTATAGAACTTACCTTTTAGCCTTTGTGGCACCCTCTTATCACAGAGAACGCCCGAGGCTTGACGTCATTTCAACCAACTGGCTAAAATGTTATGCCTGACATCTACATCAATGCCGCCATCCTTTTGTAGCATCGATCCTAAATACCGGAAAGTCTCCTTGGCCACCACTTGCCCGTCAAGGCTAAACGGAAAAAAGGGTTTGTTTTTATAAATTTAATGATGTCGAGCACAATCTCGACCTTGACTAAGGTTATGCGTGCCCTGCGTCTCATCAACTAGGCATGTCTTATAGGGGCACCTTTGGATGGAGGAAGGTACTTGATTTGTTTGGGATAGTTATCTACTAAGGTTCGAGTTCGTCCCAATGGATTTCACTCTGTATCGTAGTGACTTAATAGCTAGGGTTAGTGTGTTGGAAATTGGAGGATGAATAGAAAGAAATTGCATTTTGGTTCGCACTAGTAGGCGAAGAACTAATTGGGGTGAGGCGGAATTCGACATGTTAATCGAAAATTACAAACTCAAAAAAGAATTAAAGCGCGAAAAATTTAGAGGTTGTCTTATAAGGTAAAGAAGATAATTGAGAAGGGGGTCTTAGATACCCTGATAGTTGCATGAATGTGGATGGAAAATTGTCGGATTTGGCGAAGAGAACGTCGAAGTTCGTTGGGATGCTTGAAATTGTAGGCAGAGGATCTCATGGATATGTTGTCACCAGAACGGACCCTGTGACAGGGCGGGCCGAGTGACCACCAAGGGCCCTAAAAGTTACCCTAAGGTCTGCTATTATTTTTAATATATATGTGTATATATATACTAGTGGGGTTACGGTTGTGTACGCACAGTCGGACAAAATTCAATCTATAATTATTTGTATTTAATAATCAAATTTGATAAGTACTAGAAGAATAATCGAACAATCATAGATGACTGTGATGTTGTTTCTAGTTATATAGTACATAAACTGGGCAATATGAATTGTTGAAGCATACTTCCCTTGAACTTTTAAATCAAGTCTTGATTTATCATATGGTTCTTGAACTTGCAAACCAAGACTTGATTTATTATGTGATTTGTTAAACATACTTCTCTTTCAGCTTCCATAAAAATTTAATGTAGTGTTGTTTTTATACCTACTATTTTGTTGGTTATTAAAAGAGCTATCTGCCACTTGGTTGAATTTATCAAGTCGTATAAGTAAAGTACTGAATAAACATGTTTTATGTTGTTTCTGACTCCAAGTTTGAAGATTATAACAACCATAAGGACATCGAATCTAGGTTTTCCAAATAACTGGTATTGGCATCATAATATTATGCCGGATTAATGTAAAGTTATTTCATATATATTTCTATCGTAAACAATGAATTTCAAAAAAATCATCCATAAGCGACGTTTGCCCTTGTATCCTATCATTGTAGAGTAGCTTTCTAAAGTGATGATGAGGGTTATCTACTCTACAAACTAAAAGAAAAATAAACTTGAACATATGTGTCAACAAAAATCTAATAAAACAGAATTAATTGGTTTCTCAAAAGAGAAGACAAATACATTGTACATCAGAAGTTGGTATGAAAGCAGGGTTGGGTCGATGTTGCTCTTCTGGGTGCCACCCGCTCTTCCTGAATCCTAATGAAAGGAAGCCAAGTGTACATGTTTTATGTAATGTAATTGTTGCCTGTTTCTTTTCTTGGTTGGGCGTTTTAGGCGAGCTAATTTTTTTTTTCTTTTTTTTTTTTTAATATTTACATAAAACAACCACGGTTACTTTTTGACATGTCTTTACCAGGTTTTGCAAAGTGAAAATTTTTATTCTCAAAATTCGTGCAGTATAAAAGTGAAATAGATCTGCATAAATTGAAAATTCACGCCGAAAACAGTGAAGATTCATTTGAGAGGAAAATTCACGCAACTCGCCCAATTTACATTTTTATTCTCCAAATCTTCCATTCGAAGGGAAATTCATGCAACTAGCCCGAAAAATTATTATTATTTTTTTGTAAGTGAAAACTGAAAATTACATCAATATTTTATTTTTATTTTCTTTGGGTGAGTATAGAAGATGATGTGTAGTTGTTGTATGTAGGTATCAAATTGATGGAACACCATTTTCCACTGCATTGTGAAGAAGAGGAAGATTATAATGGTGAAGATATTCATCAAGAGGAGGATTATAATGGTGAAGAGCTTCCGCAAGAGGAGGATTATAATGGTGAAAATTATGAGGTCCAATCTTTTAAATTAGTAGTAGAGAAATTAGAAAGTAGACTATCAACTAGCATGAAAATGAATAGCATTGACGATGCATTTTTACTCTATTGTCAATATGCATATGCTAAAGGTTTTAGTGTTAAAAAAAGGTGATCAACAATACCTTTTAGAACAAAATGTATGCAAGATTTAAAGTTGCAAGGGCAAGGAAAAGAGGCTGAAAAGTGAAGACATTTGTTGTGGAACAGAATCATGAAATGATTCAGCCTGGTCAAACTCTTTTGTTGAGATCATCATATAATATTACACATGCGAAAAATCAATTTTAGAAGTTATGGTGAATGTTGGAATTAGTGTTGCTAATACTGTTTCTTTTGTAGAAAATGAAGCTCGTGGTGCTCAGAACTTGGGGCATAGTAGAAAGGATGCATATGATCATTTTAGTCGTCTACAGAGGCATGCTAAAGTTGAAGAAGGAGATGCTGCTACGTTGCTTCAATATTTTATAAACAAAGCTAATGGTGAAAATGATTTTTTTAGGAATATACAGCTGAATGATGATAATCGAATCATGAACTTTTTCTTCAAGTGAACATAGATGTGCAATTGATTAGGAGTTTTTGTTTTTATTTTTTATATTTTTTTGTGATGTGGTATCAATTGATACAACTTACAAAAAGTGAGTACAATTTGATTTGTGCTCCATTTGTTGGTATAAATCACTGTAAGAAAAATTTGATGTTTTTTGTTTTCTTTTTTGGTTTCGGAATGTTAAGAAACTCATATAAGCCAATAAACACGAATACAAAGTTCGAATACAAAAACTGGCAAACCAAACTCGCATGAACTGGGAGATCACGCAGGCATGGTCTAGAGACAATAACAATAACTAAAGGTGGCAAATTTGTTGTAGCAAATTATATTTTTACCGAGTACGAGATGACTCCCGACCTCGGGTCGATCTCTCGAGGAAGGCGGTTCGGAATCTAAAATTGGTGTCGAGTACACATAAAAAGAAAATTAACCCTAAACACTCTAATCAAGGATGATTTGGAGAAATATCTAAAACTAATTTGAACTAGGAAAGCGAATAATGAAATAACAAATAAATTGCTAGAGAAACAGAAGAAGTTCTAGGGGTCGGGAAATCTCATCAAGTCCTAAACTATGTTGAACGCTTATTTGTTCGGTTACATGATTCAACAAGCCTACACGTCTAGAGGTTTATGCTCAATAACTTTTCGTA